TTATTTCTTATTAAAATTATAAATTTTAATATAGAGAGAAAATTTTAATTTTCATTATATTTTATTAGTAAATTTAGTCTCTGAGTTATTACTTTTAGTCATCACTATATATCTAATAAAATAAAAAAATAATAAATATTATAATTAAAATTAATTATATTAATTAATATATATGATAAGAAAATAATTAAATAAGATAAAAAATTATAATATAATATCTTTTTATTTTAATTCATATAAATTTATTCTTGTATTATAATTAATTCAAATTATAATAAATCTATTTATATTAAAATTTAGATATAATAAATCAAATTTTTAGAATTAAATTTTTTATATATAATAAAACTAATTATATTAAATAAATATAATAAAATATTTTATATTAAATTTAAATTTATTTTGATAATTTATTATTATTTATATATATATTTTAATATATTAAATAATTATATAATTAAATTATGTATATTAAATTTAATTAATCAAATAAATAATATAAAATATCTAATATTATATTATATTATTTAATATTATATTATATTATCTAATATTATATTATTTATTATCATTATTTTATATATTATTTAATATTATATTATTTATCATTATTATTTTATATATTATTTGATATTATATTATTTACTTATTAAATTATTATATTATTTATATTATATTAATTTTTAAATTTATAAAATAGATTCTTTATTTACTTATAATTCTACTTTTATTATATTTTTTAATAATATTTATATTAAAAAAAATAAGTTAGTCTTATTACTAAATAAAAATATAAAATTTATAAAATAAAAGAAAAAAATCTAAATCTTAATTATATTAAACTTACTTACTAATTAATATGATATTAAAAAATTAATAATATTAGAAATTTTTAAAGAAAAAGAATATTAATTTATTATTTTAAATAAAAAAAAATATAAAAAAACTTCATAAATCTAAGTAACTATAACTTAAAATTGCTCTTGATTTTTGAATAGATAATATATTTATAATATAATAAAATATTAATAAATATATTCTTAAAGTAAAAATAAGCTTTTATACTAATCATTTATATTAATAATTTTTATAAATTTAATAATTAGCTTATTAATTTTAAAAAATAATATAAATTTATAAAACAGAATAATTAGTAAATATTTTTTTTATAAAATTAATAAAAACTAATTAACTTATTTTATAATAATTATTTCAATTATATAAACTTGAAAATATTTAGAATATTAATAAAACTGAATTTTTTTAAAAAATAAAATCATTTCAAATAAAAATAAAATTATAATTAATTATAACTTAGTTATAATTCTCTAATTAGTTATTATAATTAATTATAATTAAATTATAATTCTCTAATTAAATATTATAAATTATAATTAATTAAGATATTATCTTTAATTTTAAATCTTAGCTTATTTTATAAAAAAAATAAATTAATACTGAAAAAATAAATCTTATCTTTATTTATATATATAAAATATCTTATCTAATATAAAATCTTAATTATAAGAATCTTTTTATTTACTATTATTAAAATAAAAAGTCATGAATACAAATTAGTATTTTTAATAATATTCTTTTTAAACTTAATGATCAAATAAAATAAAATAAATAAAAAATTCTATTCTTAATTAATAATATATTAATATATATCATTCTTGATGAAATTAAAAAAATTAAATTTTATACAAATTAAATTTCTTTTTTTAAATATAATTATCTTATAATATTAAAATTATTTAAGTATTAATATAAGTGTTTATTTATTTAAACTTAAATTAATATTTATAATAATATATAGAATAATATAATATAAAAATTCTTAAAATATAATATTTATAATATTTATAATATTTTATATAATATTACAAAAGTATAATTTATGATATTATTATAAATAATTAGAAATTAACTAATATTCTTTTACAAGAAAAAATAAAAAATCTTTAAAACAAGATATTTGAAATTCAATTTTAAATAGATATATTTATATATATTAAATTTTATAAAAATTAAATTAATAATTATAAAAAAATTAAGATTCAAAATTTAATAATTAAATTTATTTATTATATAATTTTTATATTAATTTTAATCAAATTTTATATAGTAAAATTTAAAGAAATAATAATTTAAAAAAGTTATTATTAATAAAAAAATTTTTTATAAAAGTATATAATAAAAATTTTTATATTTAAATAAATTCTAATATTTAATAACTTAATTAAATAAGACAAAATTAAAATTTTATTCTAAAAATAATTTATTAATATTTATTTGAGATATAAATCTTTTTATATTGAATTATATAAGAAAATTATTTTGAAATTAAAGAATAATATAATAATTTTACTTATATTTTTGCTTTAATTTAAAAAAAGCAATATATTAAATTAAAATATAAAATAGTAACTGATAAAATAATTAAAAATAATAAGATTTATAAAAGTTATAAAGAGAAATTTGAATATAGTTACAGAAAATAATAAAAAAGAACTTTTCTCTTTTATCTTATCAAGATGAGAGAATAAGTATTTTTTTATGAAATATAAATTCTTTATATAAGAAAAATTTGAAAGTAGTTAAATTTTATGAAAAATTTGAAAAGTTTTCATCGGCAAACGATCATAACGTGAATTTGACGGCAAGTCTATTTGCTTTATTGCTACAATAAAAATATATAGGCACATAGGTGCCGGATAATCTAAATTTAATAATTTAAGCAAACTATAAACTATTACGAATTTTTTATTTTTTTTTAATTACTAAAAAAAGTCTGATAGATTATAAAATTAGGCTTTTTTTGTGTGGTGACTAAGTGAACTGCACTGTACTCAAACGAACATGTGTTCTTTCATGTTTTGTTACTTTTGACCATTTCCAATGCATTCTGGGCTTCGCGAATTCGATCAGACATCTGACTAACAGTTTGATCAATCCACTGCAATGATATCAGATGCGCATTAAGAATTTTGACGACCTCGTCGACCTGGGTGCAATTAATTTGCAATAAAAAAACGGATGTTCAATAACAATAAATAGTTGGTGCATTAATAAGGATTCTATGTGAATATTAAGTTTACCGCATCATCTGCATCTTCCATAGCTGTATCTTCTTCAAATTCAGCAGCCGAAAAAGTATCAGTGCCAAATGTAGACGTGTTACGATTTATATCATTGATAATGTTAGAAAGTTGGTTGCTCATTGAATTCAAGTCACGGTTAATTGTTGAAGCAAGTTTATAACTACCAAAGAAAAATTGATTTAATCATTTATTAGATGTAACCAAAAAAAAAAAAAATAGATAAATAAGAAAGAATAAATAAAACTTGCCTATTTTCTCTTGATTTGTCTGTTTTACTATCCTTAGGAGCTTCATAATACCTCGATTCATATTGCTGTAATAACTGATCCATCTCCTGCTGCCTCTGTTCAAAGCTCGCCAGACTCATATCAATTTCCCGTTGAACAATATTGGCACGTTCAATTTGTGCTAGTAAGTTCTCTAGCTGTTGTTTTGGGTTGTTAGTAAGCAGAATAAAAATATTGAATTTCTGTTCCTATATAATTAATAAAAACATACTCTTCCATTATTTTCCATAACTCTTCGATCCCACTCAAGCACTTCCTTTGCCTGAGTTTGAAAGGTTCGCTCACAATTATTCAAATCATCTGACCAGCGATTAATCATATCTCGGATTGTAGCGTCTTGTAGCCAACTAGGTACTTCAGGTATGTTTGGTTTTCCTGAAGATGGAGTAACAGCTGTTAAAACTGGTTTATTACCAGCTGCTGGTGTAGCAGCAGCACTACTTGTTGTCTGTGTTATTGATGGTATAGGCTTAGTGGTGGTAGTTGTGGATGATGGAGCCGATACTGCAGTAGTTGTCGTGGTTGTTGCAGGTGCACCATTACCCGTTGTAGTTGTGATAGCCGGTGATTTTGAAGTAGTTGCTGATGTCAAAGGAGCAAAGCTCAGACCTTTATTTCCAGCAGCCGAAGACGTAGCCGTCGTTCCTATAGTAATTTTTAAATAACATTGTTATTTAAGTCTTTTTTTTTCCTACTATGTAAACCAACTGTAATCACCTATTTGAGTAGGTTGCGCAGTTTCCGTTTTATTCGCTGTTTCTGATGGTTTAAATAAATTGGAAACGGCGGACGGTGCAGTTGTTGTTGATGATGCAGGCGCACTTGAAGTAGAAGCTGTAGTTTGACCAAGTCTTGCAAATATATTCGAAGAACCTGTTGGTGCAGTAGTATTAATAGTACCTCCTAACTTGAATCCATTGCTGGATGTGGATGTCGTCGTTGGCGCAGTCTCTTTTTTCCCTAAGCTTGAGAATAATGAAGGCAAAGGAGCCGAATTATTTGTCGTTGTTGCTGCTGCTGCTGCTGCTGTTGTTGTTGTTGATGATGATGATGATGATGATGATGATGGGGCTTTAGTTCCAAAATTAAATCCAGAAAATCCACCACTGGAGGGCTTTGATAAATTGGTAGTAGCAGATGTTGAACCTTGATTAATGATTGGTGGTGCCGCTGTTTTATTGATATCATTATTGTCTCCTGTTGTTGTAGTTGTTGGTTTAGTTTGAAAACCAGTTGAGCTAAAAAGGCCCGAAAGGCTTGGTTTGTTTGTTTCACTAGTTTTAGGAGCATTTGAAGTTGTATTGTTATTAGTAGTAGTACCAAGTCCTGCGAACCCTGTTGTGGTAGTTGCTGTCGTAGTAGAGGGAACACTGAAAAATGGTTTAGGGGTTGTAGTGTCAGTCGTTTCCCCACCACCTGTTCCCCCAGCATTAGTTGTTAGAGTAGATCCTTGTGTATTATTATTAAGTAGAAAAGGAGGAGGTCTAGTAGATCCTAAACCTGGAGCGTTTGTAGTCGAGGTAGTGGAAGAACCAAAAGATAATTGACCTTTTTGTTGAGTTCCCCCAAATAAAGATGATGACTGAGTTGATGTTGGTTGCGACTGGCTAAATCCACTAGTTGTTAATCCCGATTGCTGTGTTGTTTGTTGTTGCGAAGCTCCAAATCCAGCACCTGTTGATGTTTGAGTTGTTTGTTGTGGAACGCCAAATCCACCAGTAGTTGATCCTGATTGTTGGGAAGCGCCAAATCCAGCTGCTGCGGTTCCTGCAGGTGCACCAAATCCAGAAAACGAAGGCTTCGTTTGATTCGAAGCACCAAAATTACTACCAAAAAGTGAGGCTCCAAATGTTGAGGATGATGATGTTGTCGTAGATGGAGCACTAAACAGAGTTGCAGGTTTATTAACATTATTATCGAATGCACCAGTCGTCGTAGTAGTATTAGTATTAGTATTTTGCTGTGTTTGACCACCTCCTAATCCTGTTGTACCACTTGTTGTTGTTGTTGATGATGGAGCCCCAAAAAGTGTAGATTGTTTATTAATAGAAGCACCAAATCCAGTATTAGAATTAGAGTTATTATTAGATGTATTAATATTAGTTGTAGTAGAAGATTGCTGCTGTTGCAGTTGTGGTTGTGGTTGTGATTGTGATTGTGATTGTGATTGTGATTGTGATTGTGATTGTTGTGTTTGAGTTCCAAAGCCTGGTGCTAAAGCAGTATTAGTAGTATTAGTAGTTCCCAACGAACTACCGAAACTACTAAATCCTGTTAGACCTTTACTACCGAAAATGTTAGAACTCGGCTGCTGTGAGGTATTTGAAGAACCAAATAATCCTCCTCCTCTTGAAATTCCGGTTGTACTATTAGAACTATTATTATTAGTTGAACCTGGAACAGAAAGTAAATAATGTAAGTACAAATATAAGTAGAATTTTGTTGAATATATGAATTATGTGTGCACCTGTAGTTTGTCCAAATGCTGGAGCAATTTGACTTTGTGTCACTCCTGCGCTTCCTGAGCTTCCAAATCCTGTGGTTTCAAATATAATGATATAAATTTGAAAGCTATTCAGTTATACGTACGATCTAAGGAAAATACGATCTAAATGTAAACAACTTACCCCATCCTGGCTTTGCATTTCCAATGGTAGAGGTGGTGTTAGTGTTGGTGTTAGTACCTGTATTAGTATTGCCACTGTTACTGTTGTTTGTGTTGTTATTGTTGTCGCCGCTTGGGCTGCTATTATTGTTGCTACTGCTAGGATTAGGAAACATGATTTGACTAAGTCGCGTTTGTCTGCAATAAAGGGAAGTTGAAATTGGAACCGGATTTATTTTTAATATCTAAAACCCCGGTTTAAACCCGGATTTAACAGTCGCAAGTTTGATTTGATCTTACGATTTGATTGGTTTTACCTTAAAAATCACATGATCCGGAAAAACAGACTTATCACATTTATCGGTCAAAAACTTATCGCCATGATTTTAATGGTTTATTAATGTACTTACATAAATTGTATCTTTGCATGCAATAAA